GCTAATGTATTTATGATGTGCCCTGGTGTGTTTCTCCTTGGGTCCACATTCTCTGGGACTCTCTGAGTTTCCTAGACTTCCTGGAAGTCTATTTCCTTTGCCAGATTGGGGAAGTTCTCCTTTATTATTTGTTCAAATAAAGTTTCCACTTACTGTTCTTCCTCTTCCCCTTCTTTTACCTTTGTAATTTGGATGTTAGAATGTTTAAAGATGTCCTGGAGGTTCCTAAACCTCTCCTCATTTTTTAAAATTCTTGTTTCTTCATCCTTTTCTGTTTGGTTATTTTTTTCTTCCTTCTGGTCCACTTGATTGATTTTAGTCTCAGTTTTGTTTCCATCACTATTGGTTCCCCGTGCATTTTGCTTCATTTCACTTAGTGTAGCCTTCATTTTTTCATCTAATTTGTTACTAAAATCAACCAGTTCTGTGAGCATCCTGATCACCAGTGTTTTGAACTGTGCATCTGATAGGTTGGCTATCTCTTGGTTGCTTAGAAGTATTGGCTCTGGGACTTTGAGCTGTTCTTCTGCCTGAACCATAATGTTTTGGTCAGGTTGTACTTGTTATGTATGAGGGGCAAAGCTTTAGGTGTTCACCAGGGTGGGGTAACTCACGTCGCTGGGTTTTGATGCTGAATGTGGGGGCAGGGTCAGAGAGGAAGCAATAGCATTTGTTCCACTCTCTTTCGGATTTTGGTCCCCTCTGCCACTACCCACAAGCAAATTGTGCCTTTCTGGTATTGGTTCCTGGGTGTGTGGGCTTGTGTATCTTTGGGATTTTCTTTAACTGCTCTACCTGTGAAATTTCTTCTTCCCCAGGAGATAGTTGGGCCCCTTGTTACTGCTCAAAGTCCATGATAGTTGAGTTCTTTCTAGGTCAAGCATTGAATGCCATCAATGAGCATACACGAACTCATTCCCTCATACACGAACTCAGAGACTGTGCGTGGAGCCACAGGGCAGCCTGCCCACATCCGGCCTCGGACTTGGGATTTCTTCTTGTCTCCTCATACGTGCACTGTGTGAATGGAGTGGAGCCAGTCTAGTTATTGGACTCATTGGCCACTGAGTGCCCTAGCTCACATTTCTCCTTTTCATACCGAAGTTTTCTTAGCTTTTGAACTCGTTATCTTATGAGATGCCTATCACTTCATGCTGGCTTGAAAGATAGAATACAAAGTCCCTGGGGACTGATTTGGTATCTCCTGTCCCTCTGACTCATCATCTTGACAATATAGTATTGAATGTTATGATATAATAGAAAACAGTTGAGCCACCAGATTACTCTGGGTGAGGCACCCTAAACAGAGACTAAGGTACTGTAAAGAAAATGTTTGGCATTTCAAAATAAGTGACTTTTTGCTGACTGCAGGGTTTTATCTGGCTTTTGACAGGACACTTAAGAGTTCTGTTTGATTGGCAAAGAGCCCGATGGTCTTGACTTGAAAGAAAGTAACTCTTCATCACTTACTCAGCCAACATCGTATATTAATTGAGCAACCACTGAGTGCAAAGCATGTCATACTGCATACACATGCTAAGAAAACACATTCCTCTCCAAGGGAAGACATACTTTAAAGAATAAATCCAAACAAATGGAAATATGTATTTTTCAGTCATGTATATGAGCACAATGCAAATAGATAGGTTTTTTGGTGAATAGACGGGACTCATTACAAGCTCTACAAATGGACACATCTTTGCATTCAGGTACTGGTTCTGTAAGGAGTGTCAGAGTCACCTACATTTAAAAATGGCATCACATTTTTTCAGTGATTGAGAAAAGGAAATAGGATGCACCATTTGTTTAGAAGAATGTCACGACTTGATACTGGTCAGGCAGCATTTATGGTCGTGTCTAGCCTGCTAACCTATTGACTGTTCTCATAAAGACATGCTTAGTACTTTCTTCTACAGTTCAGCAAAGTTTTCAGGGAGGAGTGTGGTATGGTGAGAGCAGGGTTTGAGACATTTGAACATGTCAGTCTGCCTTTTCCCTTAGGACTTCTGCCTATGTTCGTCTTTGGGCCTGGAATACTCTCACTTCCTCTTCCACGTGTTGTGCTAACTCCTGCACTTTAAGTCCAAGAGCAGCCATCACTTCCTTGAGGATGTGTTTCCTTGACCTCGCTCAACAGGTCAAACACTCCATCTCTTCCTTATGTGCTCTATGACAACATAGTCTTTTCCTTCAAAATATCTATCATAGTTGTGAATTTACACATATTAGTTTGATTTTTTAAATCTCACTGAACTGTACAAGGACAAAGATTGGTGTGCATATTTGCTCTCTAATCCCAGCATCCAGCACAGCGCCGTGCCCATGTAAGACATTTGGTAATTATTGGTTAAATAGACGAGTAAATATTAAAATAAATATATATATATATATATATATCACCATTTGGGTTTTTAGGGTCTCATTCAGCTTTTAATAGAATGTCACCACTATTTTCCCATTTCTAGACCATATCCAGAGCTTTCTAATCTCTATGGCTCACAACTTGATGACATGCTCTCCCCCCAAATACTAGTAATTCATAATTCACATGTGATTTTCAGGTTTCAATGAGTTTCCACACTCATTTCTACATTTCACTCAGTTTACTGATGAGGAATCTGAAATTCAAAATGCCACATAAACAAAACACAAAGTTAAAACTACAATTCTAACCATGCCACAGCTTTTAGAAAATCTGAAAAGGGAAGAAGAGGATCTGAAAATTGAGTCCACTTCTGAAGGCCCATGGAGATCTATAAAAATAGAGATATCTCTCCAACCCCAAGCAAAAACAGATTTAATTTATTAAAAGGGTTTATTTTATTTATTAAAATTGAGTTAGATTGGGTCACATAGTTATCTGACCAGAGAGTATATCTTATCTGGAAGTGTGAAAAGGTAAAAAAAAAAAAAAAAAGGCATTCATTCCAATTTCATGGCTTAGACAGCAACCCTCACCAATTTCTCCATTATGTACCTGTTTCACACTTATTCTTTATGCTGTGTAATCACCAAATTAATATACTCTCCTATTCTCTGTCTATGCAATGCAATTTAGCACTCCACTACCCTACTGGCTCTCAATGTTTCTTATGCATATCTTTAGTCACAAGAGTAAAGTAGAAATATGTAGGAACTATGTCTAAGCACAACTGAGCGTCCTGTACTCAGTGGTCTTATGGGTCATTTGAGCTGGTCACCTCTTCTTATAGAAATCATTGGGCAGCAGTCCATCTCAAAAGAAACAACTGAGAAACAGCACAGATTTGGAGCATTGAGTTAGAATGGGAAAAATTGCAGTGCTGATCTTTTGCTCAGAGCATGTGTGAAATTCTTAACTAATGAGAGAGCCACTGCATTAGACCTGGGGATAAGAAAATGAAGAAATCCTTGTCATTTTCAAGTAGGGTATGGTGTACCCAGTGAAAGTGCAGAGGGTTGAGTCCTGCAGCAGAGAGCGTGCAAAGCACATCAGAGATTCATATTCTCACAGGATGGGTGAGGGCAAGTTAGGAGTGGGGAAGAATCTATTGGGCCATAAGACCAGGAAAAACAGTGTCTGTGTGTCAGGGGACTAGGAATGCATGGGTGAGAGATGAGAGTGTTCCAGGAGGTTGGGAGCAGGTTTTAAAAGGTAGTGCTGGGAAATTTGATCTTGATCTTGAAGACATAGGAGAATAAGTTTTTTGAAGTGGAAAAGTAACACAATTCCATTTATACTCAAGAAAGAATCTCTTTGGAGAATGAGATGAGTGGATAGAGACTGATGGTGGAGAGACTGTGAAGGAGGACGGCAGGGCAATCCAGGTGAGTGACTCCCTCAGCCTGTGGTAGGAGAGTGGGTAGGAGAAATGAAGATGGCCGAGTTTGGGGAGTCACTGGACGGGAGGTCTAAGGGGGAGGAGGAATTCAGGGGACTCAGGCTTTTGGCCTTCAGAGTCTGTATCACATTCTTTTGCTATCTTTAGAAGTCAGTCTTTAATTTCTTTTATATATGCATATAAATATATAATCTACTCATAAGATATATTTTTTGGTGACAGCAATTGATTCTGCTCTCTTAACAAATGTCAATAGTGCAATATAGTATTATCAAAAAAAACCCCAAAATCTCTGACTGTTGGAAACAACCAGAACTCCAACCTGGTGAATTAGGTAGGATATAAAAGTAAGTAATATATTTTTGTATTGCACTTATTTTAAAAAGTAAAAGAACCTCACAGACCAAAAGTAAGAAAAAGGCAACACAATTAAGGTAAAAACAAGGTGGTTTTAAATTTTTTGGAGGAGATTCTTACAGGTGAATATAAAATGTTTTAAGGAATGGTATTACTTTATGAAGGTGTAGTCTCTTAAGCATGAAGAAGACTATACTGAGGGATGGGTGAAACAGGTGAAGGGATTAAGAAGTACAAATTGGTTGCTACAGAATAATCATAGAGATATAAAGTACAACATAGGGAATATAGCGACTAGCATTCTGATAACTGTGTATGGTGTCAGATGAGCACGAGATTTATCAGGGTGATCACTTAGTAAGTTATAGAATATCTAATCCTTGAGGTGTAACACTTGAAGTTAATATAATGATGCATGTCAGCTGTTATTGAAAAAATTTTTTAAATGATTTAAAAAAAAAGAAAAACTGTTCGACCACCAAAGAAAACATGGCAGAAACAATTTTGTGGCCATTTCATATCTGTATGCAAACAAGCCCTGACAATCCAGGCTGTGGACAGGGACACGTTTTGTCAGCTGTTGATCAGGACAGCATCCTTCCTCTTTATCAAAGTTTCAGTTCTGCTGACTGGCAGAGAGCAGAGTGCAAATTTATGACTTTTGAATTTATTTCTGGAAAGGATCCCGAATATTTGCCTTTTCATAGCAAATTCATTCAAAAAGACCCAATAACATACATATACAGTGAAAAGAAAGTATTAAGGGAAGACTCAAGAAAGAAAGTGCTCTGCAGGGGGAAGGTGCTGGAAGGCAATACTCACAGAGATCGGAGGCTAAGCAACTGCTGGAAAGTGTCGCCCTTAACTTCATAGATTTCATTATGTCGCAGATCTCTGAAATGACAGAGTTCCAAAGGTTGATTTCAAAGTCACTGGTTTCAAAGTTTAGTCCTCAGAGAACTTTTACAGAGTGATTACCTTGCTCTCAATCAAAGAAACACATGAAATGAGACTATCAAGTGACCTTTAAAACAATTTTTTTAAACACATTACAATTTACACACTTAAGTACTGTTTTTTTCTCTTTCAAAGCAGCTGGTTTCTTTGAGTGAATATGAACCTATCCTCCAAATGCCATCTTCACTGAAGCACTTTAAGGGCGCCTCTCTTGGCTCTACCTTCTAAGCTTTTCTTGCATTTGCGGGTCTTCAGGAGTTTCAAATCTTTACCTTTCAAAGATGGATTATTTTTCCCCCTTAATTGTCCAAAGGCTTTCAGAAAAAAATATTAAGTGGGAGAGGATAGATGGTTAACATTGTTTTGATCGAAAACAAAGTATCACTATACAGCAATAAGGCTGAGGTTTTATGGAGGAGGCAATTTTAAGAGAGGAATTCTGAAATGTTTCCTGTGTAAGAGCATCAATGGCACCTCAAATATGGCAAATATGGTACCTCCTCCAAAGATGACTCTTGTGAAACAAACATACCAGCAAACTCAAGTCCCTCATATGAAAAAATACACCATCGTGTACTGGGTATACAAGTTTAGCAAAACTCCAGAGCTCAAACAAACCTACATCATTATTACACCAAGTTCATGATAAAAAAGGGAAATGCTTAGTAAGTGGTTTACTTATCACACAATGCATGGTGAAATAATATTGTCTGTTTTCCCAACCTTATTCCCATCCTACATAGTCACACCTTGTGTGTGTCCAAAGGGAACACATCAAATATCTCCCTAGTGACCCCTGGAAATGTGGGTTTGGGCTCCTCTTATTTTTGCTAGGTGACTTAGAGACTCTATAGACATACATTTTCTGAAGCTTTTGGCAGACTGAAAAACTGGGCAAATCTTCCAGCAGGTTGTAAGAGAGATCTCTGAAAAACAGAAGGCACAGAGGGAATATCTGTTACATGCTAAGTGTAAGGAAGCATGCTTTGCTCCCCTTTCCCTTTACGATGGGGTGTCCCCGAAGGCTGGCACGGAACATTTCTCCATTCTTGACCTGGGGTGGGTAGTCACCAGTATGACTGGATTAAGCAGTAGATTTAAATGTTTGCTAAAATGTAACTATTATACTTCTTTAATTTATTTAAATAATTTACTCAATGAATTTATTTATATTTTGTTAGTGATGATCTCAATGTTGTAGCTATTATCTTACTGAAATGAGTACAAATCAAATTAAATAGCTGTGCCTCCCTTTCTAAGGGCTGCTGTATTTCCACAGCTAAAAAGAATCATTGTTGGTTCTTTTCTAATCAACTAAAACAAAATCCCAACAACAATTCCAAACATTGCACTAATTTTGAAATCAATCACTACACTGGAGGGGGGGGGTTGGAAATCTAAAAAATCTTCAGCCAAAACTCAACGAATTACAGAATAATAAAAACATCTGGATATATTTAGAGGATAATATAACTAATCTAAAACAAGCCATGGTAATTTGCAGAAAGCTTAAAAAAAGAAAGATGGTAGATAAAGTAACATTTATATATATGTATAACATATATATATATATATAATATATATATGAAGCTTTTCTCATGTTTCAGAAGCTATCAGCTGATCAGCTAACACCTTTTCATGCCCAGTTATAATTCTTAAAACCAGATCGCTACTCTGCAACAAAAAAAATCAGTACTATTTTCTAAGAGGCTTTTAAGTTATTTTGTTCTTTAATTGATCACTTCATCCTATGCTTATTGAATAAATGAAATTTATATAGAAACACAATAATTTACTATGCATATATTTCAGATAAAGCTGTTTACAAACACAAATGTATAGTGTACACTAGAGTTTTTGAAGACCAAACTGAATCAATGAACAAAATAACAAAACCATACCTTCCACCTATACACAATTACACCTGATTAACAATATGATTTGCTATTTTGAAAAGTGAGTAAAATAAAATGGACACACATATTACCAAAGGTGGTAATAATTTAGTTCACTCATCTCCACAGACTTCAAGGAGACAACTCCTTCCTGTGTAGCCCTTAGTGCAGGGTACATAAAACCTTCTCCTACATAAGCACACAGTATCTATCACCTCCTACCTAACTTCTACCTAATGATTTTCATGGTTAACTTATCAAGAACTCCTCATATATAGATCCCATGTTTACAGCTTTACCTGAACTATTTCATTTAATCCTTATGGTCACTTAATGAGGCAGACACTAGGATTATCCCCATACGATGTGAAATGACTCACCAAAGATCACCGCTTTGCTAATATGTGGGGATGGCCACACACAGCCAAGTAATGCCCATGGAGGTGAAGCAACCTGGGGCCAAACCACTCATGTACGGTGAAGTTTCCTCAAGTAACAAGTACTCAGTGGACGATTCAGCCTCAAAGGGGAGCTCTCTGACCTCTACTTTTAGAGCCTAAAGTAGACTGTAGTAGAGGTCAGGACCCCAAGTTCTGCTCTCAACTTCAACTGATTGTGTTTGGTTAATACACTGGCCAAAGCATTGGCATCTTTCTCAGTTTTCTTCTTAAAGGAGAAGATACCTGCTTTGCTGATCTTGCAGAGTTCTTATGAAGAACAAATCAATATTGTAGGCTGAAATGCTTTGGAAATGGCAATATAGGTTGCCATTTAGGTTAGTACTTGTGTTTTTTTCAGGCCTTTCTAGTTTCAACTTGAGGAAAGAATAATGGTGTAAAGCAAGTGAGAAACATGATGATGAGAGTTAACACTGCCTGAGAGTTTACAATGTCGCCGGTGCTGATACAAGTATCTGACATGCAGTAAGTCATTTCGTCCTCATGATGATCCTGTGAAAGAAGTAATTATGCCTCCATTTTATAGATTGGGAAACAGAACCAAGAAGGAACAAAAAACTTGCTCAAGATGCTGTACAGGTATATGCAGAGACTGGACTTGAACCAGGAAAACAGACCCCAGAGCCTTTGTTCATAACCAATTTGTCAGTCAGCCTCCACTTATGCAGTTCTAGGCCTGAGTGGTTTACCATTTAGTGGGTGACACAGTGGAGACAGATGCACTTTAAATACTGGCTCCCTACTATCAATTACAGGAAGTGAAATCCTAGTCATGTTACTGAGCCCATTCCCAGAAGAAATGAGGACAATTACAGCTATTCTGGGTATGGTAGGCAGAATTCTGAGACGACCCCAAGTTTTCCACCACCTGCCATACTCATACTTTCTCCTACCTATTCAACCAAAATGCCTCTACCGACATCTTGGACTCTGCTACTTTCTTGTAGTATGACTTTGACAAATGTACTTAACTTCCCTAATTCTCAGTTTTCTCAACTGTATCTATGCCCCCCAGGAAAGTGTTGAGTGAAGAAGAGGAGACTACTTCTGTATGTTTCTTTCAAACATGAATGGCCAACACCAAAGCTATCACATGGAGCTATTGCAACCCCGTATCACCGAGCAACTGTGGTCGGGAGTCAGGGAAGGCAGAAGCAGCATGGCAGACATTCCCATTCTTCCACTTAGCCTTTGGAGTGCTGCTTGTAGTTCTGCTGCTAGGTAGAGCCTATGATGGAATTGCAGGCATTCAACTGCCGTAGATGTCTATTGTATGAGAACAGGGCCATGGCAAGAGGCCCTTTCATTAAGTCCCAACCCTGCTTGCAAGGGCGACGATACGGTTCACTGGGAGCTGAGGGAGAGGGCTGAAAATGGAAGGTCAAAACAAAGCTCTTCTAGGTCCTCTAAACTACTTTTCATAAAACGTGAAAAAGGCAGAGAAAAAAAAAAGCTCCAAGCCAACAGAAATGACGTATGCCAACAGTTTAACCATTAGGTGAAACATTAGAACATGGCACTTGCAGTGGTACCCGATGAATGTCTGGTTGCCTTCCTCAGGCTTTGTGTGGGCCTGATAGCACAATTTTTTATTTTGGCATCAGAGTGGGTTTTCGATCTATTTTGTTATTTTCTTTTTTCCTGCTCTACAAAGTCTTTAGAAGGGGAAATGAAGCTATTTGGGCTCATTCATATCCATTTTCTGAGAGGAAATGTGTGCCAGTTGGAAGTTGAACGGGAGAATGTTTGGGGTTTGGAAACAGGCCGCACGGGCCATCGTTACCAGGGTCACGTCAGAGCCACTTCCCCAGCCCAAAGTGGGCAAAGGAGGCCTGACCTCCTGGAGACCTGCAAGGAAAGGACTCTCCCCCTTTAAAGGATTACCCAAATAACGCATGCCACTTTCCCTAAATGGAAGTTGCCTGTTTATACAACATTATTGCTTTACCGATACGTACAGCATTTGGAGATTAGGTAACTGATCGCACACAGTGTGAGGAAGGGAACAGATCTGTGCTCCAGTTAGAGTCCTGTGGAAACACAAACCAGACACGATTCTTTCATTCAGGCATCCCGCAGTGACATAGTTTGATTCACTGACATTCAGAGTGGTCAGACTTTAAAAGCAGTGCCTGTTCTGGTCAAAGTCAAGACCCTTCTCAAGTACTTACAGACTCTCCAGACTAGCAGTTCCAGTTAAATCAGGAAACTCAGTTATCTGGGAGGCACCATTCAAAGTCCTAGGAGGAGGGGCACATGAGTATTATCTGGAGAAGATTCTAGAAAGGGGTAATTTTTATTCTCATTTTCAAAACACTTCAACTTCTAACATGCATCTGCTTTTTTACAGCAACTCTACAAAGGGAAAATGATATGTATGAGAAAAACTTACAGTGTTCTTAGTTCAGGTAAATGTTGAAAGGTGGATCTTCCAACAAGCTGGATGGGGTTGTCATAGAAATGTCTGAAAAGAAATAATAATAAAAAAACAATGTCTTAGTATAAAACTTGAATGGCAGATGAGTATCTGTTCAAATTTCAACAAGTACGTTAAGTGTATTTATGTAATTTTGATTATACTATATTATATGACATTCTTGATTGTGTGGTTTCAGGCAAACCTCAAAAATGTTTTAACTCATATTATGAGACTTTTGGTAAGAAATTCATGCCGTATAAAATTAAAAATTTCTGACAGAAAGATAGAGTGATAATTTCTAAGAAAGAAAGCAAGTGAACTGACTGTAGTTAGTATTTAAAAATCTTCCCTGCCTCCAACATCTGTGCACTATCAATTGAATGGCAATGGATAATTGGGGGGGCAGGCAAGCATGTCATGAATTACATAAAGGGAAAGTTCTATATGTGAACATGAAGATGATATCCTCTGGTCCAACCTTATCATGATACACAAAACTGACACCAAAGATTATCTGAGAGGAAATGAGGTATTTGGGGTTTTTAAACAATAATGTCAGATTTTTTGGAATTAGTTATTGCTCTAAAAGGTGAGATGTTATTAGAGCTTAGAAATATTTTGTTTTACAGATATTCTCAATGTGACGGTGTTTATATCGCCTGGCCAATGGGCCGCAGAAACATTTCTGAGCTGTGACATCCCTCTAGTTCAGTGAAATTCAATAGGTATTTGTTGGCAACTACTGTGCTCAACATATGAGGGTAGGTAGTGCAGGGACCGAGAGACCGATCCGCTGGGGAGGCTGTCCTTAGTAGCTACCACACGCCTGGTGTTGTGCTAACAGCTGGGAGTTGAAGAAGAACAATTAAATGTCTCTTCCCTAAAGAACCTTGGGATCATCCAGGATAAAACAAATACATAAGATTCTATCACTTTCTAGCTGACAAAGCATTTGTCATGGATCCACCCAACAACTTAATAAAATCTATAGTGTAGACACTGAAATTCTATTCTCCTTAATTTGGAGGAATAAACTTAGGCTCAAATACTTTGACAAGTTCATCATCTCCCAGAGCTTCAATTTTCTAATTTGTGAAACTGAGAAACTAATACTAACGTGTAGCATTTGTGTATGCATCGAGAGAGCTAATGCGTCCATAACATCTGGCACACTGCCTGGGATGTCACTGTCACCTGACAAACCTGAGTCCCCTTCTGTGCTTCTAGCCTCTGACCTCTTCTTTTCCCTTGCACTAAATAGGTTCCAAAAGAAAGAGCTGGAATATAGGTGTTAGGATTACAAAAGAAATTTTCTTCACAATGTTACATTATCCTTTATCTACACTACATGCTTATATGTTCACATATATGTACACACTAGACACATAAGATGCACATGCTTGCATACATGAGGCAGAAGCGTCACAAATATAAATAAGGAGTTATAGGATTCTCAGAAGAGAGTTCTCTCATGAAGCCAGGAAAAACTTCATGGAAATATCACTTGAAATAGACCCTGGAAAACAAAATTCCAATAAGCATAGTGAGGGGAGAGAATCGTAGGAGCAAAGGAAATAAGGAAAGGAATTCATTCCATGAATTTAGTTGGTCTGGGTGTTGGCACAGGGTAACTGGGTAGAGCTTTGGGGAACTGATCAAGAGGGTTGGCTTGGGCCACATGGAAGGAAGGCTGTGAATGTCAGGGTAAGGAGTTTGTATTTAATGTAAATAAATAATCCTGAATCTCTGTGTTTTACAGTAAGAGAGTGACAATATGGATACTGTGTTTCAAGAGAGATGGGGAAGGCAGGGAGATGAGCCTTAGTCTGATAACAATCTAGAGGTAAGGGCTAGCAGACAGGCTGATGGGCAGCTGGGACTACAGAGGGTGGCCATGAGGTCTGGGTAGTCTGCACACAGGAAGCCCTTGCCTTCACAGAAAGTGGGAATGGAAGGTGTGGTGGGGGTGACAATGACCAGAGATGGAAACAGAGACAGAGGCAAGGAGAGGAGAATTTCAGGGGGATTCAGTCAACACCAAATGCTGAAGGGAAGCATTAATAAATGGGACAGGGGGTGGAGCGGCGGGGGGTGGGGTGGGTGGGTGGGGCTGTTGGTCCTCCTCACCCAGTATTAGCATATCAAAAGAATGATTTAAACCCCCCCCCCTCTTGTGGCTGCTAGGCAAAAGAAGCAAAGCCAAAGCGATTTGCCAACCTCTTACTATGTAAATACTCTCTAATGAGGACTAATGTTTATAGGCAATAAACTTTAAAACCCTTCGTTTTCCAACATACTGTCAGAACATTTCAGGAATGATGAATGGTATTTTTCTTTCAGTTGTCAGGGCTAATTGAGACGGACTCCAGCTCATTTGTGACAAATGCTTCACAGTTCCAGAAAGCCTCTCAATTAAGTTGGCACAGGATGGGTATCTGCCAAGAAACGCCCTTAGAGTCATGTTCAGCAGTTGTCCTTACTCTCTCCCCCCATATTCAAGACCCCTCACTCATGACTTCAAGTCTGCCAGATGGTCTTTCAACTAAGAGCCAGCTTAATACTAACATATTTTCATCTTCCTACATATCTGTATAGGATCAATCTTATGTCTGTGCTAAATGTGAAACAGCATTAATTATATGTTATAGTTGTAAGTCTATTTTATACTTTTATAGTACATAAATCATCATATATGTCTTTCTATGACATATGCATATTTCTAGAATTACGACATACCTTGTAATCGTATAAATGTGACTCAATGCTTGGGCTTAACAATGAATGGATATAGAGGCAGCACAGAACAGTATTCCCACCGTCCACCATCAGCTGAGGCTGGAGTCTGTCGTGGTAAAAGACTCCTATTTGTATATAATAATTGATAGTTCTGGCATGCTTGAATTCATGTTCTGAATGACCAGCTGACCTTGACACTGATACTTTAAAAATCGGTTTTATTCCTTAGAAAATAGAGAGAAGCAAAGCATTTTTGCAAGATTATTGTGAAGTGAAACAAGGCGTCTGAAGATATGACGCATATGCAGTGCAACTTGAAGGTTCTAGAAAAAAAGAATCTTTTATGTTATTTCAGCATTCAGCTAAAACCTGGCACAGCACCTCTCTATGGACTCCTCTGCATAGTCTTACATTGACTGAGAAAAACATTGGGCAAATATAGAACATTCATTGTAACATATTTACAGGAGCAATACGTACTCTCTGGATGAAAAAATCGAAAAGAACTATAGCCACTTACATTGTAATAAGAGAAGGGTTGCCTACAAATGCTTTCTCAGGTATTGACTTGATATTGTTGCTGTGAAATCCTCTAGAAAGAAGAAAAAACAATTTATAAAAAATAATGTGTGGGGTAAAATTATTTAATAGTCCTCAACCCTTCTCACGTGGCAACAACCAGCCCCTTCAGTAACTGCAGGATAAGGTTACATTCACCTATGCGTTTGGAAGGAAGCTTAGGTGCCCTCACTGACTCTGTAGGAGAAAAGGAAATCGCCAGCTGCCATCTTGAAAGAGAAATAAAGAAGCTGAAAATAGTAAGTGTGCTTTATGGCAACTTATGACGTGATGTTATGTAAAGAAAATCCATCTGTTACTATCTGCTGGAGCACCACACTGTGTAACAACTTGAGACAGAGAGAACTGTCTTTGGAGAGGGATTATGAACACCCCTCCTGACCCCATTTGAAGCTAAGAGAAAAGTGAGGTAAGCTTCAATGAAATAGAGATTTCAGTAATCTCCTTATGAGGATGGAATTTCCTGAGCCAAAGGAAGGTGCTCAGGAAATCTGTGGAAGCAGATTGATTCTTATCTGTTGTTGCTGGTGCTGTCTGAATGGGAGGGGGCCAGAGTCAAAGGTCTTCGGGGGCCTGTGGGTGAGGTGAGTGGCGGTCCTTGGTCCGCCCAGCCACAGGTGATGCTGATGACTTACTTCCCAGCTTGGCCACAGGTGGGTTATCCTGAGGCTGAACCTCCTAAAGTTTTTATTATTATTATCTTTTAACAAACAAGCTTTCTTGTCTACCTCCTTTGGCTGTGTGTCTTGTTTCTCTCTGCCAGGAAAATAGCTCTATGCTTATTTTCTTTTCTAAGTGTTAGAACATTGCTTACATAGGTTATTTTTAGGTACAATGAAAAATTAATTATAGCATACAAAAGACAATATATGTAACCCAAGACCTGAAAGTTAGCTTTATTTTAGTAAAATTGTAGTTTGTTTAATTAAATAAGATTCACGAAGTATTTAAAGAATGTGAAAGCATCTAGCACTACACTAGACACATACATTTTATTCTGGTTTGTAGCGACTTGTGCAGCCTAGGAATGTTTTTCAAAATGCTCAGCAATTAACTGAATTCTATTATAGTTCTGTACAAATCTATAAAGTATATAGATTTTGGGGTAATATATGTTAGGAAAGGAGTATGGCTTAGAGAAATATGTACAGTTTTTCTAATATACATATATTGGAGAAATCCATTATAAATTTAAAAAGATTGATGTTTGCTGGTAATAGAATCAATTAAAGTATATTTCAAGTATACTTGACTGTCATTTATATGAATTAAATTTTTTTCTAGTAAGTCACATGTATAGTGATCAAACATATTTTAAAAATAAATTTATGAAAAATAGAGATTTCTTCCCCGGCTGCTGTGGCTTAGTGGATTGAGCACTGGCCTGTGAACCAAAGAGTCATTGGTTCAATTCCCAGTCAGGGCATATGTCTGGGCTACAGGCCAGGTCCCCAACAAGGGACACATGAGAGGTAACTGCATACTGATGTTTCTCTTCCTCTCTTTCTCCCTTCCCCTCTCTAAAATAAATAAGTAAAATCTTAAAAAAAAAAAGAATAGAGATTTCCCATTATATTTGTCCTATATACTTACAGTTCTTTAAGGTTGGAGAGTGTCCTGATTGCAGTGGGGAATTCATCAAGGTTGTTATAATTTAAATCTCTGAAAATAAGTGAACAGTCTTTTCAGTTTTTTAGCTACACATTCACATATATTACCATTACAAGGAAAGTTGACATGCCACTTCAAAGGGCTAGTATCATTGATGAAAATTCTTATTCTGGACATCTTGGAGGACTGCTCTGTCCCTGAGTCCTGTGGGGGGCGTGTATCCCTCATAACCCAAGGTCCAGGATGACAACCTGCTTCTGGAGAGGTTTGTATATGCAGAGTACTCTCACGAAGGACATTAGGTCTAGAATTTTCTCAGGGACACAAATAATGATTTGGATCAGAACTGTGATGTTTTCCTTGGTCTGTGACACAAAGCTCCGTATTACCTTTCACGACCAAAGATGGAATAGTCAAACAATCCCAAATAATTAATTTCTCTGTTTGTTATGAGACAAATGGCTTTTCAGTTCTATTACTCACAAGAGCTTAATAGATTTGCTCCACCTTCTATCTACATCTTCACATGAAAAAGCGATTGCCTGCTGGTCTCTGGGAATGGCAGATTTCCCAGATGACTCAGAGAAACCTTTTGGCCAGGCAATCAGATGTGGTTAGATCTTCCTCTGTGGAGAAGAATTGCTATTTAATTTTAAGAGAGAGATAATTTAACTAAGTTAAACATGAATCAAAATCCCTACTTGTCTGACACAAACCATCCTGAAGCTATACTGCAGGCAGGAAACTTGTGTCTTTGTGGACATAAATTTTCTTCCTGTTTGTAAATCTCTCCAGATGCTCTGTTTTGATTAAAAAAGGATTGGGCCTTATAAATTACTTGGATTTCGAGTGAGGGAAAGGAAGAGGTTGGGAGTAACCAATTTACTGATCCTCTGTAGCCCTGGGCAAGGTAAGGGGGGGTGGGGCAAAAAGACTCAGGATTGTGTCCTGGAATGTTTTGTTCTACAGTATTTACACGCAATCCTGTGTCCTCACTTTAAACATGGGGTGGGGGAGAAACCCTGTTTATGGAAATACCCATCAAAGTCCATCTTGTTTTTGTCCCTGTTGAGTTTCAAAAGGACCAGGAGGTGCTTTCCATGGCCGAGATCCCCAGCCCAGCCCTATGTAGATAAGGGAGAAGTTCTCATTTTTTTTCCTAGCAGCTGATGGAAACTGCTTGCTTGTGCCATTAAGTTGACATCAAAGTCCTGCCTGGACAAGTTCTTCTTTGGCATCTCCTTATGAGGACGATTCCTCTCTTCTGGGAGGAAACACAGAGTGACTAGGAAACCCTGGGAGGAGAGCTGTCAGGGCCAATCGGCCTGAAGAAGACGGCCAACAACAGTGGACCGGACTTGAGTAGAAGTTAAACGAATCATATGCAAATTGCTAAGATCTGTATGCAAATGAATAATGAGCCCCATGGCCAGAGGACAGGTGGTCATCTCCTCCTGTGCTCCCGGTCAGAGCCGGCGGTATAGAGTCAGTGGCCCTGTGCGCTTTATGGCCCTTGAGTGTTAAAAACATGGGGCTTTGGGTTGGGGGCACAGCTGGAGCCACCCTCCTCTCCCAGCACACTCGGACCCCTCACTGCTTGTCATTCCACCCTCATCGCACCTCTCCCACTCAACAGGGCAGCGAAGAGCAGCTCCTCACCTGGGAAAAGGCTCGGCCCAGTGGGGCCCATAAGAAGCCCTTCTCCAAGTGACTCTGGGATACAGTTTAGGCTATGGGCAGCTGGCTGGGCTCTCTTTTTATAATAGGTAACAACTAAAAATTCCATATTTGACCTATTATTTGGAAGAAGAATATAGCAGTAAACATGGTTTTCAGAGTCAAACTAGAGAATGAAGCAAGCCCCAGTTACGCTGTTGATCAGCTGTCATGTTGGTAAAACAATTCATAGCACTAGAGCTAAGATGGGATAATAATGTCTGCTCTCAGAGGAAACAAAATATGCCAAATGCCCAGTACAATATTTCACTATAGATATACTCAATACATGGAGCTTCCATGACTTTTTAGTCTGTAGATTTGTTTTTTTGCATGAATCCTTGCTGTTTCTTCATGAGACTCCTGTTCATCTCGGGCTGGAGCCTGGTCTGAGTCCTCCCATCCCATGGGGAGCGAGCCGGGGTGACAGTAGAGAACTGATCCTTGACAGAGAATTCACACTCCGAAGCAAATAGTCACTGCTCAGTAGGAAGCATCTATTTTAGCTTATCAGGATTCCAAGTAACTTAGAATCTCACTCTTGTTAGATTCAAATACAATTTGTGTTATTGTTTAGCTCTGTGAGGCGTGTGTTGGTGTGTAAGATAAAGCCACTGTGAATATCTGTTTAAAACTCAGGCAATTAACCAAACAAAACAGCAAGCTTGACTTTAAGGCTATCTTGATTTGTTCAGAATACTCACTGAAAACACTGAAAAAGGGAAACACATAAAGGGTCAACTCACAAGGTCTCTAGGCTGTGGAGCCCATCGAAGCATTTCTTTCCCAGAGAGTGGATTCTATTGTTATGGAGATGCCTGCAGGACAAGGGTACAGACGGTCAGGGAGGCTTGCTGCACAAGGAAGCCAGCGCGACATCCTGACTGCTTAACTCCAAAGAATCTTCCACTGAAGAACGCACTGATTGTACATAACAAATGCTTTATTTAACTACTTGTTGTAAAAAAGGGCTATATGCTCCATTTACTCTCACCATAAATGATTCTATACCCTAGAACTGAATAGGCAGTCCCAGTTTCACCTTTTGGGTTTGAAATATCAGGGAATGTATCATAATACGAGCAATGTGATTGATGAGAGTGAATTCAGGTTGTTTGGCGTGGTTGCTCCGTGGATCTTCCCACATGGACTATGTAGCACAGCTTTGGGATGCGGGGTGATAAGCAGAGATACTCATGGTCATTGACAAATGGAGGATGGAGGAATGGTCCTTGGTGTACTAAGCACATTTTCTATTAAAGCTGATGGCTTATAAAGGCTACATTCCCAGAATGGGGTGACAGGTTAACAGAAAAGAGCACTTTTGACTGCAGAATATAGCAATCAGTTTTAGACTGTCCAAGGAAATTAGTTATCTTGACACAGTATTAGTGTGTATAATTATCACCTTTGGCTCAGTTGTAAGTCAGGTAGGTCAAAGCCAGTGGGAGTACTGTGTGCATGACTGAAAACTGTACCAAGACCCAAAGAGACTTTTGGAAAATAAGCTTAAGGAAGACACAGTGAGAAAGAATAGCTGGATCTCTGTAAATCTATTTCCCCTCGTGCAGAAATTTTCAACCAGTGTGCCTCGAGAATGTTTAAAACATGCAATACCTGGCTCTTTAGTCAGGGGCACTGACCTCTTTACCTTAGACTGTCAAATTAAAAAAAAAATGACACCAGCCAACGGGATACTAGCCAACTGGTGTGAATGAATCAAAATTATACCTGTTGTTTTTTGTCAGATTGAGAAAAATTTTTTTATTTTTGGCGTGCCACAGAATTTTAGTAATTTGTTTATATGTGCCATGGGATAAAAACAATTAAAAATTGCTGCTCTAGTGGAAGATAAATTAAAGCACCTATCCAGCTTCTGGTGTGTCTGTAGCATCATCTTTGTGTGTAAAATTCAGTTTAGAAATTTGTTAATATCACCCAAAATTTGTTAGTCTAATAAATATACTTTGGGTTCCTGTGAGATCTATGTAGTATTTATTGAGGATCTTCTACATGCAACACATAGGGAAGGGGGTAGAGGGGAACCTAAAGAATGGGTAAGATGCTTCCAGCCCTCAAAGTAGTATATAGTACGGTGTGAGAGACAGAGATGCAACGAAGCAAAGTGGAATGATTGAAGGCAGCAATGGGCAGGAGGGCGTGTGTGGAGCCGAGGGACAAGTAAGTCAGAAGAGGCTTTGGTTAAAGTTCCTGCAGGAACTGACCTTACAGCCTGGTAAGCAGCTGCTATTTTCCTGTGTCAGCATCGATTGACACCTGGGCATGTGGCTGCACTCTTAAAGAAGACTGATGGTTTTGAGAATCACTCTTGAGAGTGAGTTCCCAAATTCTTGAGAATCACTTGGATTTACTGAAATCAGGAAACCCAGACCCATTGGGGGTGCATATACATGCAGAGTTCACTGTTGGGTTCATTCTTGCTTCTCTTTCCTTGGTAGGGAATTCAAGAAGGGCTCATGGAATAATTAGAAAGGCATATTCCAATTTGACCTGAATTATAAATTATTATCAGAAAAAGGCATTTTTACTAACTTTACTAATTGTACAGTGTGGTGATTACTCGTATAGTACACAGTGGGCAGAGATTTTATTTTATTGCCTTCGAATGCCCAGAAGTGCTTGGCACTCAGAAGGTTCCATAAATGTTGTTTTATCCTTTCATACAATTAAAAAAATTATGAATCATTTTAGGGAGAGGTTCAAGGGGCTTTCACCCTTAAAATGCCCCTATTAGAGGTTTGAATGGCCAGCACTTTAAGGCCAAGGTCTCACTATGAATTTAGAAACTTAAAAGGGAGAGAGGAAAAAAAATCAATAGAACTTACAGAACCACCAAGCTGGACAGGTTTCCAAAGGCATAGTCTGGTATGTGGTGTATTTTGTTCAGGGCCAAGGTCATGGCCTGCAGTGCTGATAAACTTCTGAAAGCCTGGACAGGGATTTCTGTCAGAGCGTTGTCATCCAGCCACAGGTGCCGTAGGGAATGCAGGCCACTGAAACAGCTGGCAGGGACATAACTGATGTGGTTGGCATCCAGCCGCCTGGGGAAGAAAGCAGGCAGGAATGGAAAAGAGAGCAGAGCCCAGGCAAGATGAGCCTTCCAAGAAAACTCTGTGTGCTGGTTAACACGAGTGAAACAGGGCCTGGGCCCTCATGATCCCTTGACATCTGGAGCCTTTGCTCACTTCGTAGGCTCTCTTTCTCGCTGAGGATTAGAGCTACTGCTTGCTAGGTCCCCTTGGCTGTAAAATTCCATGGTGCTCTGATTCTGGCTTGTGGGCAGCTCCCCTGAGGCATAAAGATTCAGCTGAGGATCTTTTAGTTTTTCTTTCTGACACCAAGAGAAAGATACTCTCTCCCCTCCCTTTCACCCTGAATTAAATACGTGGCTTTGTGTTCCCTGGACAGTTTTTGAACATACTGAACATACTAATCCAGCTGTTTGTTCATTAAGCACTGGGGAAAGATTGTTTCAGTATTTGAAAGGGACAGAGTAGTTTTTAAAGGGCATTAGAGAGAGGAAAGGGGATTCTTTCCCTTCTCTTAATACAGGGCTAGAAAGCCTAAAATCTGCCGGCTGTCTCGCTCATCCTAACCGTTGGCGTTGGGCACATGTTTGGTTTTCCCGACATTTTAAATGAATAATAAAATTAACAGCATTCCCAGCTTTTGCTTCCTTTTTCCACCCTACTCCCCCCACACTTTTTTTTTTTAAATAGGAAAGACTTCTAAATTCAGGTTCAGTTAATGAGCTGTTGCAACTTCAGCGCCAGCAGAGGGAGTGCAATACGTTTATTTCTCCCGAATCTGACACCAACATTGACTGTGATTACAACGCCTTCCCTGTTCTGATTGAAGACACCGGGCAGATAAATAATTAAAATTTTCTGTATGTACGGGAACAATAGAACCACTTTCACTCAGCTAGGCTTCCAACAGCCCTCACTTATTTTTTTTCCAACCTGTTCTTAAGGCTCATGCATTTGTTTGCATTTTTCAAATCTAGGATTAAAAAAAAAGAAGAGTTGCATTGTAAGCAGTCCATGCATTAAGAAGGATTAGAAAATCACAAGTGGATTTTGAAAAATATTTTAGGAAGCATTTAAGACTAAACAGATGTAGGAAGAACACCGGGATCAGGAAATAATCCCCTGCACACCAACTTTAAACAATTTAGACGTGAGAGAGTTCTCTGTAAAATGGCGCTATGGAGAGTGGCTTCCTCACTTTTGGTCACAAATGTCTCTTCACTCACCCATCCTTTGGCTCCTACTTCTGAATGAATGGGAACTCGTGGGGTATCTTTAGTGCCGTGGGCCAGATTTTAACAGCAATGGAGATAAGGTCACTTAGAACAAATTTTAAGAGTTCAGTGATATAGCCCACTCACAATTAAACTTCCCATGGAACAACTATTACTCTAGGCAGCAGAGTCACAGTTCTCATAGAGCTCAAGATTCTGTCAGCAAATGGAGCTGCAAATACTTAGGAAAACTCGACTCCATCTCTTCTCCTTTTCTCCACAACCACCAGCTCGGCCCATCAGCAGGTTGGGAGGTGATTGTTGTTGTTCAACTAGAAGTAAAGCACGTATATGAACTCTCTGTAATCATTGTACTGATTAAAGAATGAAGACGTTATTTAAATAATATGAGCTTCTGTGTTTTAGTTGACATATTGCCAGTTGCTCATGCATTGAAGTGCCTAGTGGCTTCTAAGAGTTCTGAAAATGACCACCCTTAAAGTTGAGTGCAAACTGTGGGGTACGTTTATAGACAAGGCTCTCTTGTCCTAGCCAGGCAGCTCAGTGGGTTAGAGTGTTGTCTGAATATGGCAAGGTTGTGGGTTTGATCCCTGGTCAGGGCATATGCAAGAATCAACCAATGAATGCATCAATAAGTGGAACAACAAATTGATGTTTCTCTCTCTTTATCTCCCTCCTTCTCTGCCCCTAAAGGCAAGAAATAAAAATTTTTAAATAAAAAGAAAGAAAGAAAAGACTCTCTCAGCATTGAGACATAGGCTTGTTTTCTTTGACATTTAAGGGAATCCCAGAGTTTCTGCTGGATCTTGAAGTGACCCTGGGCTCAGTTTCTAATGTTAATAAGTCCCTTTCTCTGGATAGACATCTTTTAGGACTCACTTTTTTTTTTTCCCCAGAAAAAGGGATGTAATCTGGCCTCTACACTGAAGTCTTAGAGCAATTTTTTATCTAGAATGCAATGAGCAAGACAGGGCAATTCTCCATAACCTTAACATGCTGAGTGCTAATACTCCCAGACCCAGTACTCAGATATTCTGAGTGTAGCACTAAAGTGTTACTCTGCCTGACCAGTTTTTTCATGTAAGAAGATCCAATGAATGCTACTCCTTCTAAAGGCAGTGTTTTGAAGTCCATGTCCTGTCTTAGTGGTGGAAGCTAATTCAAAGAGTGGTATATTATTCACATTCAGAGGCAATATCTGATTTAATCTTAACAGAAGGTCCCCAGGCTAAACCAGAGTATGGAGTTAACTATCCAACCAATCTTACAGGTGATTTTTACAGAACAAAGTGAAGGCTGTGGACAAAGCAGCTGGTAGGGTGCAACTTGTGCCTATTCTGTGAGTAAACAAAGAGCCTGTATTATATCAGTCTGGTCTTTTTCGGCAGCTGGACATGTTCTATTCAAGAAAATAGAAAGATGCAATATTTAAGCACTGGGGAATAAGAAAAACAACACTAGACAGAACATGAAAACACATAAAAAGGTGGTTCTATAACCTTGTCAAGAACAACAAAAAATAACACATTATATAGTTCCATTTTCTAAGCATTTCTTTATTATTATTTCTATTTCATGTAAGTCAATAGGGTGTGTGTGTGTGTGTGCAAGCAGCTCAGAATCTGTGAATTAGTGCAGACTTTTTGGATGAAAACTCCTGGGGTCCAAGACAGCATAGTAGCTTTGTAACTATGGCCAAGTGAATAGAATTAGCTTGCACACCTGTACAAACAAGATGATGCATCTTTATTTTATAGGGTTGCTTTTTAAAGAAAATAATACAATGGGGCTTTGTGAAGTGTAATGCACCTTAATGATCTTAAATTATTATTACTTGAAGCTGGTTAACAGGATGTGTTTTTGTCTTTTCACCATCAAAGTAACTCAGAAGAAAAGAGGTAGACCCAAATTTTGCCTCAGTCAAAAGTTAGTTAATATAAATGCTAAGTTGCCAGGAAATTTCAGTTCTGAGAAATGCAGATGACTTCTTTCATCTCTCAGAACAGAAATAATTAAGAGATGTCTGCAATTAGACTTAAGTCACCCTTATTTTTCAGCCTTCAGTATTATCATTGTGTGTGTGCATGTGAGTATTTTGTTCTGACACATTAGTGTTTGTTCATGATACATTACAGAATATAACCTCTTCTTTCTAATGGCAAAGGAGAAGTGGTGACATGTGATAGATGTCACACTCTCAAAGAAAGTTTCCACCAATGGTCTTGGCATTTAAGCACCTTATCACATTTAAGTAATGTGATAAGGCAGCACAAAACCTGCATGCAGTCAGACACTGCAAAATAAAACACTTTAACAATGGGAATGGCTGTAGAAAAATCACTCTGAGAGCAGTGTGCAGGAAGAGCTGATGAGAAAGTGACTAAAGCAGTGGCAGTCGTCAGGATGAGAAAAGATGAGACCCTGAGAGAAGTATGGAAATGAAGAGGAAAGTCTGATACGAGGGATGCTAAGTAAGTGAAACTGACAGAACACGGGACTTGCCAGAGCGGGAGGCAAGGAACTTATGGTGACTCCATGTTCCACCCTGGGCATCTGGGGGGATGTAGCCCACGTAGGAGCAGGGGTGAGTGTTACCCAGTATTATACAAACTAAACATAATGCAGAATTGCATGTTAGCTGTGAACGTACTTCTTTAATATCAACACATACTACATGATGATGGGCTAGGGAAGAGAACAAGCAAAAGAAAAATATCAATCTTTTATGTCAGGCAAGGACAAAACAAAAGTGATCATTTTCTTGCCTTCTGTCTGAATTTTCTTCCATAATATTTTCCTGTATAAAAGGTTAATTGGACACATTTTCTTTTTTAAAAGAATTATTTTGCCCTGGCCAGGTAGCTCAGTTGGTTAGAGCATCACCCTGATATTCGAAGATTGTGGGTTCCATGTCTACTCAGGGCATATACAAGGAGAAACCAATGGGTGATGCATAAATAGGTGGAACCACAGACTGTTCTCTCTCTCTTTTTCTCTCTCTTCCTCTTTCCTCTCTCTCTAGAATCAATGAATAAATAATTAAAAAAAATATGTTGCCAGTCTGCTCCACACCCCTGAAAGGAATTTTTGATTTCTAAATGGCATTATTATAGGGATTAGAGAATCTATGACCTCATCTTTGCTATTGTTCCAGAAAAACAGTTCTTTACATATATCTTTTATATGACACCTTGTGAATGTTATCACACAAACTTGTATCTTTGTTTGAGAATGTCTTTGATGAGCCATTAAGTACAAGGAAGAAAGCGTTAGTCAAAAGATAAGCCATTGATCTTGGCTAATTTCATATCTGAGGTGAGTGTAATATGTCAATTATTAACAAGGATGACTCAAGGAAAAAAAACTAAGGTGTGAAGAATGTTGCAGCTGCAGGTATAATAGCTTATAAGGGTTCTTTCAGTAAATGAGGGTTCTTTCAATAAACAAGTGTTCATTATGACTCAAGGCATCTTCATGACTGACATTGCTATTTTATATCTGGATCAACACTTTTATTCATAAGTTTAAAGAATGACCAACTCTCTTGTATATCCATTCATACATTTTGTGAGACCCTTTTGAACAATTCATGAATAGTCAAAAGACCACGGTGATTTAGTTTATTTATAATACCTTAAAAAATAAAAGCATTTTAAATTATTATTTTACTTTTGCTATGAAATGAAACCATGTTGTTTCAGGCTTGTGTATAATGTAATTTAACGTTATGGTCAAATGGTGGCATAGATAAGTGCAGAACTCGCATCCTTCCACAAT